AAAAAGTCCCAATGGGAAAAAAGTCCCAATGGGACTCTAAGAAAACGGAATTATATTGAAACAAAAATCAACATATAAAGTGAATTCCTGAAATGTGGGATTTATATGTCGATTTTTGTTTCAATATAATTTAGTTTTCTTAGAGTCCCAATGGGACTTTTTTCTTTCTTATTCCTATCACAAATTATTACATCACTAGTACTTCACAGTTATGTTCACTGGTGGCGTACTTAAATTGCGTTTTTTTGGTGGATGTGAGTCATTAGACCATGCTTGGATGATTTATACCAGTTTGTATGCATTCTATTCTATTTACAAAGTCCTTTTATATTGGTTATGCTACAATATATATTTGTATTAATCTGTATATCTGTAGGCTATTGAGATAGGCTAGTGTAGGAAGTAGTGTAGAACTGGGGTAGCGCTGCACCAATTTACTTCTTAATATTATCATTTATGACCAACAAATCTCTATATCCAGTGATCATGAAAAGAATGTACACTAGTAATTAGTCCATCCTCCACGTATGTAAGTGTACTTTAGTAATCCACATATAAATAAGGTGAGATCATGGTACTCCTTGACCCAACCGAGTCTTGATAACAAGTAAAAACACTTCAGAAGTAACATTCTTATTGAAATAAAAAATAACCCAGCAACATTTGGCAAGTTGGTGCACTTTCAAAAATCTGCATGTAATTCAAAGTAGCAACTAACACAGCATAAAAGCAAAGATGTTTCATAAAAATTAACAATTACACTATTGGCAAATCTTTGCAAAAGCAGAAAATCTTAATTTCCCTGAGTTACGCTGGAGAAATTAGCTTTCATATTTTTTTTATCTTTAATTAAAGGGTATGTTTTTTTCCGGGGACATTAAGAGTAGTGTAATTTTTTTAATTTAGTGTTTTTTGTTTCAGTGCTTTTTGTTTATTTATTTTACCTTTTTCACTGTCTGATTTTTTCTTTTATTGGAAAAAGTTAATTAATAACACCAATGGAGGGTTGTGTTTTGGCACAAGACTTGGTCCAGGAAACTTGAAAATAGCTACTGTAACCCTCAGGATCCATTTAAAGTTCATTGCACCCTTAAAAACCAGCAAACAGTACTATAGTTTACCTTCCACATTGACTCCAATGCATGTTGCCAAAATATCAAAATTATAATGGAATCTCCCAATTCTGGAGGGAAATTAAAACTCTCACCCCTTTTATTCAAAGTTTATAGTAAAAAAAAAAAAAAAATAAGAGCTATTCTCATTTTGGCATCAATGAAAGGCCTCTGATTCTTTCATTAACCCCTTACTGATTAAAGGATGCTACCAGCATAGTATAAAAATGCTATGATTGAAAGAGTTTGAATCTGCAAAGATACAAAGCTCCCCCATTCCAAAAAGAGGTTGGAGAGATAAGGAAACCAAGCCCCGTAGAGACTCTTTCTCTCTTCAATTAGCAAACCCCATTGAAAAGGAAACACTTATAAGTAAACAAATTCTCATTCCTATGGATACATTTACAGGTTTTTATCATATGATCTGTATTTCTTTAAATGAAACAGTAATGATTTAAGAGGCAATATGTGATGTATGGGGTAATGATGCATCCAATGTGCCCCACATGTAGTCATAGCCATATTGTTATACTGTAAAGTCTTTGGGCCCTTGGCATATTCAGGCAACATTCTTACTAGTTGCTGTTAACACATCAAACCTTTCACTGATCTAAATCCAAAGAAGAATAACTTTCTCTATATGTCCTTGTGACCATTGTGTACAACATGGAAAGTGATGGGAAATCTCAAATTTTGAGTTCTCACTGGAGCAGGAATGGAGCAATGTTCCAATGTTTTTGTTGGGGACACAGGCAAAAACACCCTTTCAGTAAAATTAAAAGTGGTACAACCTCTGTCAGGTTGTTGCTACTGTGTGTGTCTTCCTGTTCTGGCAGCACCCTCTCCCCTCATTTTTTTTTATTCTTTACTTAAGATTTTTAGCAGAATACACCATGCTGTAAAAAAGGCCAAAAACAACAAAAAAAAACCCAGTGCAGTATGGAGGTATAGGAAAATGTAACATATAAAAAAAAATAACCGTACATGAGAACAGGTATAGCGCATATTAAGAAGGTCCCACGGGAACAAGGTTCACCTGTTACAACCCCCTCATTTTTTAAGAAGGGTCGTGAAATCTCCCCAGTGTGCTCATGAACATCAATGAAATATTGATGGAAGTGTCTATAAAAAAAAAAAACCAGAACATTTGAATGGAGTTCAGCTTTAGGCACAACCCCCTAAAAATATTCTGCAGCTGGTGGTGAATTGAGGGATAATTACCATTCTAAGCTCCAATATAATATGATATGCTTAAAGTGCTGTGCATATGTAAATTTCATTTTTATTATTACCACCTCATGGTCCTCTTAAAATTGATTTTCAGTTTTTGGTGGGTGTTTTTATTGATTACACACCAGCATCTTTCATCTCTGAGACACCAGCAATAAATTTTACTCATCTCAAGTCAACCAACCTGCTTTAGTAATTACAAAGTCTTATCACTCTCACTGTGGGCCTTTTCTTTTGCTTTGTGCTATGCAGAAGTCATATAAAAAGTGTGATTTAATTTTAAGCACAGGAGGTGTGAGACTCCACACCACTAGCAGAAAAGTCAGGACCTCAGGTATAGAAATCTAACTGCTAGAGTACTAAAGACATAAAAAGCTATTTGCATTAATTAAACATTTGTTTTTGGTTTACTGTCCCTTTAAAAGACTAAATAAGAACTTAAAGAGGAGCTTATCTTTCCATGTGGCTCCCTCAAAACCATTGCCATCCCTCAAAGCATGGATATAGAGCTTAGATCCCAATTATCACTTTTGGTCTCTACTTAATTCCATTAACTCCCTTATGTGCCTTATTTATCTATATAACATACCTTTCCTGAATACCAGCTTTTCATAGCTAGCCTTGGACAGACACCAGTGAATAAGCTCAACTCAACAAGGAGAGATCCACAATAATTAACACAAGCTAGACTGTGAAAAATGCCTAAGTTACTGAGAGAATTCTTAAAGTGTGAACATGGAAATATTATAGATCCTCCAAGTCTTTCCACCCTAGAGCCAGTTACCAGGAGGGAGAGTGCACATCCCATGTGTCAGTATACCCCATGGGCAAAAGAAATACTAGGCCACTGTTAACTGATATTCATCTACTATGTCGGATTCCTAACAAAGCATATTTTTGTGATACTTGATTATTTTCCTGTGTGGTCAGTGAATTGATTTCCCAACCAATGTGTTAAAGGACAACAATTGGGATAATTATCTCACAAAGGAGTCTGTGCAAACCAGTTGTATTTATTATTGTAGGCATTTATCTAATATGCACTTAGAAAAAGTAAAGTAAAGTTAATTCTGAGTGTAAGAAAACACTGACCTTGATCTACTAAAGGAGTAGAGGATGTTCAACTTCAAACTGAATTTTTACTTTGTAAAGGGAATTTTCACGTATCTTAGTAAATCAAGTGAAAACAGTACATATTCACTTACCCAGTAATGTTCAAGGAAAATATAACATACATTCTTAGACAATACAACCTCAGCTCATTCAATAAATTGCTCCTTTTATTCTCCAATCTGTATTTGATACATCACCCAATATATCCTAACACCTACTCCAGACTGGAGTGCCCAGTGTTAGCTCACAGTTTTTTAAAATATATTTTAGCAAGTTCTGACATCATGCAAAAAGTAGTAGGATAATTACACTACCCCAGTTGAAGGTTTTTTTTATATTTTTTATTGAGTTCTCTAAAACTTTCAGTGTAAAGCCATAATCTCCATTTCATAAAGCATAATTTCCCTTTTGAGACATAAAATCTATTTAGAAAGTCAGTTACAATGTTGCTTTGGCTTAGATTACCAGTTTAACCAAAAAGTCAATAAACAGGAATTACCTTTTAAATCATTTCAACTCCTGAGCTACTAGCCAGGCCTTAAGAGTTACTCGCCACCAACAAATACACACAAACAAACAGAGACACCTGTACACACACACACAGACATGTACATACATACATACATACATACAGACACACACAGAGGCACATGTACACACACGCACAGAGACACATGTACACACACACACAAACAAACAAACAGAGACACCTGTACACACACACACAGACATGTACATACATACTGTGGCAGTGCGGTGTCCTGCCACGGTCAAAATCAAGCTGAAAACCCTGGATTCTCAACCAGGCAGGTTGAGGGGCTCCAGAGAGTTGATATATTGCAGAGGAAACTGGCTTTTCAGTTTCCTCATATATTCATGAAGTCTGTTTTGGGATCTGGAGCCTGGAGATTTCAAAGAGATCTGGGAGGGATGAAATCTCCAATCCGGGGTCCATGTTTTGAGAACCCCCAGCACACTGATTGCACAGGTGTGTGCAGGCCTTTTTATAGAGGCCTAACCATAGTTCTGGGCTCCACCCCGGCAGCTAGGAGTCAGCAGGGCTCCACCCCGGCAGACGGGAGGTCTCTGCCTTGGAGTCAGGTGGAAGCCAGACTAGCTGTGTGCTAGTGCCATATTTTGGGAAGAGTCTGCAGGAGGCAGACTTAAAACTGTGTACAAGCCAGGAGGCTGAATATGATTTGCTTGAGGTTGGATACCCCCTGCGTGGGAAGCATTTGTGTTTCTTGAACTTTCTTGTAAATAAAAGTGGGCAAAAAAGCCCTTAAAAGAAGCGAGTTGCTGTGTGCTTTGAAGAAGCTCTACCACGTTGAAGCGAGTTCCCACAATACATACAGACACACACACACAGAGACACATGTATAGAAACGCACAGAGACACATGTACACACACACACAAACAAACAGAGACACCTGTATACACACACACACACACACACACACACAGACATGTACATACATACAGACACACACAGAGACACATGTATACACACACAGGCACGTACAGACACGTATACACACAGATACAGGTACATACACAGAAATACACACGCACAGACACATGTACATACAGACACATGTACACACAGACACATGTACGTACATACACACAAACACGCACACACATGTACACGCACACACACATACATGTACATACACGCAGACACATGTACAGATACACACAGACACATGTACATGCATACACAGACTCACACAAACATGTATACACACACATGCTAACAGCTCTCTCCTCTCCCCTGAAGCCACCACTGGCTGGCATATAGGATCATGTGACCAGAGTGAGCTGAAATTAGGTAGAGAGACACACACATACACATGTACACACACACACACACACGTACACACATACATGTACACAGGTACACACATGCACATACATGTACACACACACACACATACATGCACACACATACATACATGCACACACACACAAATACATGTACACACACACACGGCCCTATAAAAAGTTGCAGTACTTCGTTGTTCACTCACAGATCTGGGTACTGCACTCTAGGGGGTGGCAGAGAGCACAGCACACACTCCTTCCTTTGCTTTCACTGCGCTCAGCTATTGAGCATTCTGACGGCTCCCAGTGCCAATGACAGATCCAGCCTGAGCACCGAGCCTGCTCAGCAAGACGGCCCTGGGGGACACACTCGCCCCCACCATAATTTCCACTCGCCATTGGCGAGCAGGCGAGTGGAAATTTCAAGGCCTGCGTTATATACAATAATAAGTCTAGCAGATTATATTAAAAGTAATCCCTGTTTACCCTTAGGAAAACATTATTCTGTGGGTATGAATGGAGGGGTCTGAAATGAGTGGGATTTCCATATCATTTACAGTATTTTCATTACTTAAACTCAGATGACTTGCCATTTCTGTGCGATTAACTCATCACACTCCAGCAACATATGCTAATGCTAGGTGTTAGACTGACAGAAGTCTTCATGAAAGTCTTTCCCACACCAGGGAAGGGACTGTGGGATGTAATGTTAAAGTGTGCAGAATGTGACTTTCAACTTAACGAACAGAGGCTTACAGCTCGGTCACATTTACACCTTTACCCTCTAACCAATGTCATTGACAAGACTTGTGAGATCCCTAACTACTTTTCATTCTCTTTTAAGACCTGGGTGTGAATCTGCACTTCTAATACCTTACTGAATGTGGTGGCCTGACTATATTCATAGCAGAACAAGCAGTCGCTATGGGGCCTGGGGTGGGGGAAGGCTATTTGGATGGCTGTTAAGGCAAATTAAACCACAGATAAGAATAGTTAGGTGTACAGGAGGACTAACCAGGATCATCACTAGTAACAAATCCCTATATGTACAGTAAGGAGCATTTGTTAAGCTATCTTAGCAGTATAGATGTATTGCCCTCAGAACCTTTACTACAGCCCAGCAGACTCAAACTAACTCCATAAAATCCTAGAGTATCTTCTCAACTAAAAACTGGTAAGACAGTTGAGGTTTGTACTTCTGCATAAAAAGTGACAGTTTAAAAAAAAGTTTGTTTGATGGCGGCCTCTCTGTGGCTCTTAAGAGCGTTGGCCGCTGTTGCTGTGTTGGTGTGGGGGGATGGGCTGGGGGTGGGACTTGGGGTGTTAATTGCATCTGTTTGCTGAATACCATTTCAAGTGGTTTCAATTGTTTTGTTTTTATGTTCAATGCGCTGTGCGTTTGATTTATTGTTGATGGGTTATAATTGCTGTCAGTGCCGGAGAGTGTCTTTGCGCTCTCCCTGATTGGAAGACTCTTCCCCGGGATTGTTTCTCTGGGCAGATCTATTCCACCACAGGGCTATTGCTCTGTATTTCCTGGTACATTGTTTCATTCATTTACTAGTACTAAATAAACAAAAAATGAATGAGCGCAACTTTTCACACAACTAAATATAGGTTAGATATACGATAAGCTAATAGGGAGCTGCTAGCATAAAAGGCATACCTCGGCACCTCAGTAATATATATAATCAAAGAAATGCAGCGCTGAAATTATATTGACCATCAAGTGCAAGCAAAATGTTCAAAATAATTATTCTTTCATATAACAACTTAGAAGTCCTGTTAATGAAAAAGCGTTCCAAAATTGCAGTGGTCAAGGTGATGTGATATACTCCTGGTTACTCCATAGGGTGATAGTACAATAATGCACTTACCAGAAGTACATACAAACTGGGCGTTGTATGTAAATAAACCGTGGAGACTTCAGGGTCTGGTCACCAGAATGGCGTCATCTAGGGCTGCAGCAGACTCCCAGGAACGGTGTCACTCACACTTGGGGGTCATCATAAGCACACCAGAAGGTCCACCGCCGTTCAGACTCCAGGATCCACTCCTCCCTAGTTAGCTCGAGATGAACGAGCCCGGGAGGCAAAATGGTACCAATAGTGTAATCTCGTTTATTAGATCCAAAGGTTGTATAAAATTGCAGGGCACTCACATGCACAACAGTAAAGAGGTTATTCCATCAAACCTTCAAAAAGCATAGAAATCAAACATCTGGAAGAAACAGCGTCAACATAGGGGATTCCCCTGACATATTCTCAGACCTTGAACATCCCATTAAGCACCATTAAATCTATTATAACAAAATAGAAGGAATATGGAACCATTACAAACTAGACAAGAGAAGGCCATCCACCAAAAACTCACAGACCTGGCAAGAAGGGCATTAATCACAGATGCAAAAAAAACATCAAAAATAATACTGAAGGAGCTGCAAAGATCCAGAGTGGAGATGGAAATATGTGTCCATAGGACTACTTTAAGGCATACACTTCACAAAATTAGGATTTATAGAAGAGCAGCAAGAAAAAAAAAGCTAATACACGTTTAAAATTTTTGGCCAACATGGGAAATGCCATGTGTGGTGCAAACCCAACGCTTTCCATCACCCTGGGAACACCAACACCACAATGAAGCTTAGTGGTGGTTTAACATACCTGGTGATGGAGTCTGATAGCAGAGGAAGGCCTCTCTTACAGCTCTGGCTCACGAGCCCTGGTAAAGTAATGGGGAACACCAGAGCATGGTAAGTCTTCTGCTGGTGGATGGGGATATGCGTCAGGTTGTGCAGGAACAGCTGACAGGTGGCATGCTGGCAAAAGAGAAGCTGGCTCAGGTACAAGATGAAGAGCAGAGGCTGGGTCAAACAGTCCAGGTCAGCAGCTGGCAGGCAGATCAGGCACAGACGGTAGGCAGAAGGCTAGTCGGAAGACAGGCTGGGGATGGTAACAACGAGGCAGATGGGCAGGAGGATGAGGCAGAATCGTAGTCCAGGGACAAGCCTGAGTTTATTGCAGGTAGTGTCCAGGCAAGGTCAGGAGAAGATCAGGTCGGCAACAGAAGAGTAATCAAAGAACAGATGAACAAATGCTTCATGAAGTAAAGAAGACCAAACGGCACTAGCTTCAGGTACTAGTGCAGTTTAAATAGCCCGTCCATCCATGCACACCCACTGTATGGCCAAGAGCAGAGTTTCTTTGGTTCTTGTGCCTTTCCTGACATGTGGCAGTATTATGCTATTGAGGGATGCTTTTCATCAGCAGGAATTGGAAAACTGGTCAAGACTAGAGTAAAGATGGATGCCACTAAATCCAGAGCAATTCTTGAAAGAACCTTATTTCAGTCTGCCAGACATTTAGGACAGAGGTACATCTTCCAGTAAGACACTCACCCTAAACACACTGATAAAACTATACTGGAATGTATAAAGGGAAACATTTACAGCAAATGTTTTGGAATGGTTTAGTTGAAGCTCAGACCTCAATCCAAAAAATCTGTGCCATGACCTGGAGACTTACAATATGTACATCAACACAATCCATCTAATGGGCAAAAATCCCAGTGGCTAGATATGTTAAGCTAATAGACACATACCCAAAGAGTTTTACAGCTGTAATTGCAGAAAATGGTGGCTTGACTTAGTATTGGGGGGAAGTGGGGGGGGGGGGGGGAATTTGGAGATTTCGATTTTTGTCTTAATTGCTGTGTGTGCCACACAAAATATTTTGCTCCTTCAAAGTCATAGGCATGTTGTGTACATCACTTGGTACAAAGCCCCAACAATCCCATTTAGTTCCAGGTTGCAGTGCACCAAAACAGGAAAAAAACAAGGGGGTGAATATGTTCGCAAGGGACTGTAATGATAGAGTAATTTAGTACAGAAGCATTAACAATTACAATGTATTTAATAATATTAAAAAATACTCCTTTTCTCTGTGTCTCATACTGGAACCACCCTCATTGCCCAAGAGCAGTGTTTAAAACTCTGAGTACCACAACAATTTTTTATAGTAGCACAGGTGCCTGTTTCTCACTACCTGTGTCACTGAGAGTAATTTAAGTCCAGTTGGAAAGCAGTTGAAAATATGTCCCATAAAAAAGTGACAGAAGAAAGGTGAACCACAATAAGCTGCTAAAAATGTCAGCACAGGCAAATGACCAAGGAGATGCATGAGGTTACTGGATATGATACGCAGGGCGCAACTTTAGACATGTCACTAGACATGTGAGAGGTTGCTTCTAAGAACAGCTCTTGTCAAGTTTAGCTTGTCTAGACTGCTGCATATCACTTACTACTCAAATTTCTTTTTGTTCTGGTATAGAGATATAAATACAGTATATTGCCAAAATTATTGGGATGCCTGCCTTTACACGCACATGAACTTTAATGGCATCCCAGTCTTAGTTCGTAGGGTTCAATATTGAGTTGGCTCACCCTTTGCAGCTATAACAGCTTCAGCTCTTCTGGGAAGGCTGTCCACAAGGTTTAGGAGTGTGCCTATAGGAATGTTTGACCATTCTTTCAGAAGCGCATTTGTGAGGTCAAGCAATGATGTTGGATGAAAAAGCCTAGCTACAGTCTCTGCTCTAATTTATCCCAAAGGTGTTCTTTCGGGTTGAGGTCAGGACTCTGTGCAGGCCAGCCAAGTTCCTCCATCCCAAACTCACTCATCCATATTTTTATGGACTTTGCTTTCTGCAGTGGTGCACAGTCTTGTTGGAACAGAAAGAGGCTGTCCCCAAACTCTTCCCACAAAATTGGAAGCATGAAATTTTCCAAAATGTCTTAGTATGCTTTCGCCTAAAGAGTTTCCCTTAAGCCCAGCCCCTGGAAAACAACCCCACACTATAATCCCGCCTCCACCAAACTTTACACTTGACATAATGCAGTCAGGCAAGTACCGTTCTCCTGGCAACCTTCAAACCCAGACACAGAAGCGTAATTTGTCACTCCAGAGAACACGTCTCCACTGCTCTAGAGTCCAGTAGCGGTGTGCTTTACACCACTGCATCCGACACTTTGCATTGCATTTGGTGATGTAAGGCTTGGATGCAGCTGCTCGGCCATGGAAACCCATTCCATGAAGCTCTCTGCACACTGTTGTTGTGCTAATCTGAGGGCCACATGACGTTTGGAGGTCTTTAGCTAACTGACTCTGCAGACAATTGGTGACTTCTGTGCACTTCAGCATGCACTGACCTCGCTCTGTCATTTTACGTGGCCTACCACTTTGTGGCTAAGTTGCTGTTGATCACAATTGCTTCCACTTTATTATAATACCACTAACAGTTGACCGTGGTCTATTTATTAGTAAGGAAATTTCACGGATGGACATATTGCACAGGTGGCGACCTATCTCAGTACCACGCTTGAATTCACTGAGCTCCTGAGAGCGACCCATTCTTTCACAAATGTTTGTAGAAA